CCCTTCGGAAGAGCGGTGCTTTGTCTTCTGATGACCCTTCATTAGAATGTTTTTCCCATAATTTCAGATGTTTTCTAGTAAGTTCTCTAAATTTTACGATTTTCTTCTTGACCTCAGAATGTCTCTTATTTTGATTACCATTATAGGGTGTCAGTTTTAATTATTGCTGTGTTACATTGGAAGAAAGGCTAAAATACCTCTTAAATTATATGTATCCTTTGGTGTAATATATTTGTTGAAGTTCAGCATGTTAGAATTTTCCTGGTAGCAGATGTACTTTTAAAGAAGGCAGATGATGGGTTGATATTTCTTTGGGTTCCCAGTGTTATTTTTGCTGCCAAGCATTTTGAACTTGATTTTCAGAACACATTTTAAAACTTAAAGAAATGTGCTAGATAAATGCGCCATGTAAAGTGCACAGAGAAAAATACACATATTTAAGAGAAATATGTCAAAAGATCTGCTGAATCCTAATGTTGGTAATATTTGCTTTTTTGCAGAATTTGTGTAATATATTTTCCAAAGGCAATACCAATAATTAGAAATATGTCCATTGTGAGACACTGTCTCTATTTGATATTGCCCATAGAATCATTAGCCTGGAATGACACGTTGTTTAATTAACTTCTTCCTTACATGGAACAAGATATGTCTCACATTCATTATTTTTTAATCCTTGAAAAATAACTTTTTTCTTCTTTTGATAATTGGGATACAGAGTAGAAAAGTCATTTTAACACCTATTGCTAATTCAGAACTGTTACTGGACACATAAGTTGCCTGAGTAGCCTAGGTGTTACTTAAGGAAGGAGATGGTGATGCCAGAGGGGCTGTGTGGGTTATGCACATTGTTTTCCTGACAGTGACTCAGGGACTTTTGGTTTCAATGCCATCTCTTGAGATGTTCTTTGAGGCTTAGTATCGGGCTATATTTTGTATCCAAAATTCAGATGGCTTAAACAATAAGCATTTATAATCTGACATGGGTTGCTAGGTTAGGAATCAAAGAGTATTTAAGTAGTGGGTTATAGCTCTAGATACCCCATGGTACTGTAGTTTCCAGAAGGAAGCTCACACGTGGCTGTAAGGCTGGCCTTTGAGGCACAAGTTCCAGTTGCCTGTCAGCAGGGACTGAAGCTCCAGGTTCCTGTCCACATGGGGCTGCTTGAGGGTTCTTAGCTATGGAGGCAGGCCATTCACAGCCCGAGGGAGCCCAGAAAGAACTGAACAGGAACTTCCTAATCCTGATCTGGCCATGTATGCCTGTTCAGATCGTCACTAATATAACCTGTACTCAGGAGAAGCGACTGAGAAAGAGTGGGAAAGAAAATGATTGTAGACACAGCCACCTGCTTGGACCTCTAGAAATATGGCACACGGCTTTCTCCAAGTTACCTTGCTCCATGGTTTAAAGTGCAAGTTCCCAGTGCTCGCACTGTAACTCTCTCCCTTTGGAGTCCCAGCCATGTATGTAGTCCCCTTCTTACCACATTTGTCCATGGCTCCTATTGGTTAGACCAAAAATGTGCTAGTCATCCTTGATACCGTTTTACCCATCAGCTTCAGTTATCAAACCATGTAATTTTTGTTCCTAAGTATAGATCAGATATCTTCTGTCTTGCATTTAAAGCAACTGCTCTCTAATCTTGAATGCTACACGACAGTCTTTTAATTTGCATTTTCTTCATTCCTCTGTTATAAAAAGGTTCCTTCATACAGTTTCAGGTTTTTGAAATATGTAATATTTGCAGAGAACAAAGCGAGAAGGAGATAATTTTTTTAAAGTAAGGAGTTTTCCAGTGCTTTTATAATCACAACAAATAAAGTGGTGTGGAAGATTGCAGTTTCTGCCAGTTGGAGATAGGGCCATGGTGTTATTTCTTGACTGGATTTCCGAGTATGTGGAATAATCTGTGAACACCAGATTTGGACAGGATACTCAAGGCTGGCCTTGGGTGAGATTTGGACGTGTTTGATGCAATGCTGTGTAACTGTATAAATTCCTTTTGCTTGGTACACTGACAGATCACTTAGTCCACACATTCAGAATCTTTCATGAACACGTAGATAATGCTGTGCTCTTTGTTAAATTTATCTGTCTAGTGACTAAGTAATATGTTTCTCCAAGTCGTTACTGTCCACTGATACAGGAATACTTCCAAGTTGATGGGAAAATGGAATGAAGCCTTAACTTCTACTTAGTGCATTCTGTATCAAGATATCCCGATTTGATCTTTGCTTCTGTTCCTGTGTACCACTTCCTGCTGAAGAAGTCCCTGGGAGGCTGTGGTTCACGCCTGCAAGAGACCTGGAGTGACTTTCTGGGAGCTGGTTTAAAACCCAGCTTAGCCTGGCAATTGCAGGAATAAAGCAGGGAATGGGAGCTCCAACCATTCTCTCCCTCCCTCACAAATGAATTAAGTAAAACTCTTTCTGGAAGTTTTTTTAATATAATGCGCATTTTATGTGAGCTTTTGGGAGAGTTTGCATTTCTCATTGTTGGTTCATTCTGCTCTTTACTGTGTGGGCACCCTTAAGCTACCTGTGTGCTGTGGCTTTAGCCTATATCCTGCTCCTGCATATAGATCTGTGACTCCAACTGACTGTTGACAATCTTCAGGGATTACCTTAACATCTGAACTGTAACATATTCTAATGAATTATATGTGCTATGCCTTGAGCCGATTAACTGACTACCTGTGTCTTCAGACATCTGTGTTTTGATTTCTGATCCACAGCTCCTGTGCTGTAATCCCGTGCCTCGAGTAGCGTTTCTGTTTCTGAAGCTCCTACTGTAATGCCTGAGGGTTTCACTGGCAAGTCTTTGACCCCATCCTTGGCTCTGACAGAAGTCATCCTGTTGGGTCACCAGCTTGTAGTGTCCTGAGGCCCCTTCCCTGGTTATCGCTCATGAGTCCTTCCAGAACTTACAGCACATGATGTCAGATATCACCAAACAGTGTAATTGTAGGGGAGAGAATCCCAGGAGAAGGAAAGAGAAATGCATGAGGGGTACTCCCAGATGTGTGATATCTCAGAAAAAGAGAGGAGATTGAGAGTGGTTTTTGCTGAAACTAGTGAATGACTGCCTGATGTTGGGTTCTAAGTCATGTCTTTGACAGTGAAGACCCACATTAAGGTCTATCAATGTTTCACATAATTGGCTGATGAGTTTAATCAGCCAGATTGTCCTCTTAGTCAGACAAATGTTTTGGAGTTATAATTTGCTTATTTGCTGTTTCTTTGTTAAATTGTTTTTCTTAAGTTAATTGACTGGTTAAGTCAACATGATCTAGTCAGATGAATTTAGTATTTGGAAGTCATTCCAGCGTGTGTGTGTGGCTTCAAATGGCTATGACAACATTAAGAAGTTGTCAGGAGAAACTTGCCAGAGTTTACTTAGATAAAGTAATATACAAAAGAAACACACAAGAATAAAACATGCCGAGAATTCTGGCCCTTTGTGAACATGAAGAAAGCAGCTCTGATAATTTCAAGACTCTGAATGCGCAAAATACTCAAACTTCTGCTCTTCAATGATGATGTTTAAAAATCTACAGACTGGGAGAAAGGCACAATGAAAGTACAATCCACACACACTGGGGAGGGTACCTTATCAACGAAAGTAGGATTTTAGTGTTAAAATGACGTAATGTTTTATTTTTATTTTACTTCTGTTATTAAAACTTTGTTATCATTGAAGAGTCAGACTTATAAAGAGGAAGAGAGACAGAGAGGAAGATCTTCTGTTTACTGATTCACTCCCCACGCGGCCACAATGGCTGGAGCTGAGTTCATCCAAAGCTAAGAGCCTGGAGTTGCTTCTCCCTCCCCCTGCTTTTCTCTGTTACTCTGATCCCAACTGGGTGTAGGGTTCAAAGGCTTTGGGCCACCCGCCATTGCTTTTCCAGGCCACAAGCAGGGAGCTGGATGGGAAATAGGGCCACTGGGACATGAACCTATCCCCTTGTGGGATCCCGGTGGCATGTGCAAGGCAAGGACTTTTAGCCACTAGACTACCACACCAGGCCTCACTTCATGTTTTAACAAATGTCCAATTTCTAAATGAAATACAGGTATATTTTATTTCACAAACAATGTAAATGCACATTTCAAAATGTCAGTGTCAAATATGAGAATATCCTATCAAACTGTTGACTAACGGACACAACTTAAAATTAATGTGGCTCCTGCTTATGGCTAATTTTTAAAGATTTATTTATTTTTAATGGAAAGGCAGATTCATATAGAGAAGCAGAGACAGAGAGAAAGATGTTCCATCTGCTGGTTCACTCCACAAATGACCACACTGGCTGGAGCTGAGCCAATTAAGAGCCTAATTGCAGTTGGGAGTCAGGAACCCGGTTAAGGTCAGCCACATGGGTGCAGGTTCCAAGGCTTTGTGCTCCATTGCTTTCCCAGGCCACAAGCAGGCAGCAGGATGGGAAGTGGAGCAGCCATGATATGAACTGGTCCCTTTGTGGGATCCAGGTGCATGAAAGACGAAGACTTCAGCCGCTAGGCAATTTCAAGAAATAATTATCAGGAACTGGTACTTTGGCGTAGTGGGTAGCACTGCTGGGCGTGACAGGCATCCTGTATGAACAGCGGCGTGGCCCAGCTGCTCCACTTCCCACCCAGCTCCCAGCTAACTGCTGAGTAAAGCAGCAAAATGAAGCCCACTGGCCACCATGTGGGCTTCCTGGATGATGCTCCTGACTCCTGACTTGAGCCTGGTCTTTACAACCATCCAGGGAATGAAACAGAAGATGGGAGACCTCCCCCTGCTTTTCTCTGTTACTCTGACCTTCAAGTAAAGCAGATGAATCATTAAGGAACAATTGTTGTGGTTATTTTTAAGAAAGCCTGTAAGGCTACTGAAATGAGGAGTATTCTCTGTCAGGTAAAGCTGTGTCTGTTACCGCGTGTTTGTGGTTAGTTTTTCCGTGATGTCCCTTTCCATTGCAAAGGCTGATTTCCGTTTCTCCCTCCCATGGCAGCCTTCAGCCGAGCCCCGATCCCCATGGCCGTGGTGCGCAGAGAGCTCTCCTGTGAGAGCTACCCCATCGAGCTCCGCTGCCCAGGAACGGACGTCATCATGATCGAAAGTGCCAACTACGGGAGGACAGATGACAAAATCTGTGATTCTGACCCTGCGCAGATGGAGAACATCCGGTGTTATCTGCCAGATGCCTATAAGATTATGTCTCAAAGGTACGATCTTTCTCTTTCTCTCTCTCTCTTATTGCACCTACTATCAAATTTTATCCTGTGAGTGTGCGACATAATCAGCATGGGGATAATCTGAAGTGCTTTTGCAGGACATGACCCTCCCCCACATCATCAAAATAGTAGTAAGAGATTGCAACTCATGAACATTTATTACAATACTTACTAGGTTTCATGGTCTAATCTGCCTATGATAAGAAACTAAGCATTTTTTTTCAAAATTTTCAAAAGCAGCCGTCTCCAGAAATTTCATAATTGATTGCTATCATTTCCAACCAGCCAAAGGACAAAAAAAGGGAGAAAATTGAACTGCTGCTAAATGTGAATGATCATTAATCAAAGGGTAGTGAAAACTGTTGACCAAAGGTGGTATGGCTTTGTAATGCCAACTGTTGACCCTATGGGAAACCATGCAGAAAGAATACATTTCATGTCTGGTATGTGAAAATAATTAGTCAATTCAGTTCATTTACACTATCCAAAATATTACAAAATGGAAATACAGGAAGATACACAATGTCATTGTATTTTAAAAAAATGTTCTGTGATTCTAAAAGGCCAGCAGAACTCCATACCATTAATTCAGATCATAATTTCTCGATTAATTAACTGTGTATAAAGTATCTCTTCAATATCTTTAGTTTTTTGCTCTCTCAGTAATCATTTGTGAAATCACTAATTTACTACAGGCTTTCATACTTTTTGACTTCCTCATCACAAAATGTTTTTAAGTAATTCAATAAAATATTTGCCAAATGAATTTAATTTTCTTAATTGAGTAAGCCAGTGTTTTCATTAAGGTCTCTATTCAGGCATTTCCTTTCCATCTATTATTTAAGTAGTTCTTGAAGTATGAGGAAAAATATAGCACATGTAACGTTAAAGAAATTGAAGTCTAAAAACAAAAACAGTGAATCTCAAAGATTGCCTTCCTCGTATCTAAGCCAACTTTCATTATTTATCAGCTTTTATCTTCTTGGTGCTTAAACTTCTGGTATGATTTTACATGTAATTAAGAAATTGTTAGTATCTTAGGTTTTATTAGCTTCTGTTGCATAAATTATTACTGATTTATGAAGTGCAAGGTTTTTGGTCATTGAAGTTCCTGGGATAAAACACTGCAGGGATGGCTGGACTCTGACTGACTGAGGGCTTTAGCTCGTTACTCACGTGATGGCTTATGCTAAAGTGGGAAGATGTCCAAGTCAGATTTTAACACGCGGGCTGCCATTTGACATGTTGTGGTTGCATTTTGTGGCTGTTGTGTGTCTCTCGGTGCTGCATAGTGGATCTACCTTCAGCCGTGCGGATGGCCGTGCCGTTACTGTGAGAACCCTCTTTTTGTTGTAGCTGGTAATGCAATGATTGCTTAGGAGTGGTTTTCCTTTAATGAGTGTGTAGTGGGCTCAAACCCAGAATTCTTTTTGTTTATTTCCGCCAAACGTAGGATTTACAGGATTCTGCTGTGTCTATCTGGGGGCTTGAGCTGAGAAGGAGGTTCTGTTTCTCTTATTAAATTTTCGCTTAAAAATGTTGCTAAACCATTGACTTCCCTGCTCTTTGGTCTTGGTATGATTTTCATTGAAATTGTTTTAATCCTTTCAGTGATATTATTAATGGCTCCCAGAATAAGCTCTTAATCTTATAATCATTATGAAATATTTATAATGGATTATCTGGAGCCACTGAACTGCATGGAATGCATGCATAAATCGGGAAATCTATGGAGTAAAAATACTTGAAGCACCCCTAGTAAATCATTTTTGTAAGCCCCACTGGTGATTTCCCAAATAAGAGTTGTCATTTAGTTGCCATATCTGTGGTTAATGCTCCATAGAGATAAGATTTTCCTTATATTTGAACTATTAAGTATACCATATTCACTCTAGTCCAAAGTAAATGTTTGTGACTCTCAGGAAAAAAATACTCAGTTCTGTCTTATAAACTCACAAGAGATAATGTGAAAGTTATGGAACTTTGCCTGCTTTCTGATGAACTTGTTCACACTGACATGCCAACTGCTGCCTGAGAATAATGCTAACAGTTTTTATTATTGTGTAGTGATATCAGTAACAATGATATGAACAGTTTAAGTAGATAGCTATGTTTGAATTGAAACTATAATGGATATCACATTTTCTACAAGTTGTCCTGGGTTTTCTTTCATTTAAAAGCGGAAATGGAACTATGTCAAAGTTTCGATATGTCTTTTAGGAGCATTATCAGTAAATGTAGAAAGGTTACTGCTAGCTCTTGTGCATAATCTTGCCTTAATGTCTCTAATTAGCATTAGATATCCAATAAAAGGAGGGACATTCTATGTCATTCATGTGGATATTTTAGTACACATGAAATAAAGTCCAGATTGTCCACACAGTCCTTTTTTAATCATTATTCTACTGGATGGTTTGTTCAAGTATTGGCAACATTATTCAACCTCTTCTGAACTTCACATCTCACGCAAGACTACCAGCTGCCCTCTGTTTCACACTTAAACATTAACTAACCTGCAGTTTCAGGCAGCTGACCTCTCCACAGTAGCTTGCTGACATCTAGCTTCTGGTTATCTGAAAGTAACTTTTCATGCATGAATTCATAAAGAAGTGTGCCATGGGCCCTGCGATTTTTCATCCAACCTTCAAGTTATTTTAACCTTTTCAGCCTGAATGACTTCTGTTTCTTCTGGTTTTACATTTCGACATTTCATAGAATTTTTAAAGGATATGTTGCGAATAGCTTTAGAATCTAGATTTAAAAATGACTTTAAGCCACTTGCTAACAGGAGATTCTGAATTTGGAATTCACCTTAGAATTTCTTGTTATGTTCGGCTCTTAATAGAAGCGTTCCTACTGTTGACTCAGTCCAGACCCAGAAGACTAGAAAATGCAGTGCACTAAAGGTTTGGGGCATATGAGAACAACCAGGCCTATGGTGTGCTCAGCATTTTCTTCTTGTTGCCTTAGTGTTTAAGCAGAACAGAGGAGATGGCTCTTTCTGCCAGATGGTGTAACAGTGTTTGATTGGAGAGGAAGCGTTAAGGCGGATGTTTGCAAGGTGGGAGCATCAGTGTAACCAAAAGAGAGTAAACCAAAACTAGACATTCAGGGGAAAAATACCAAAAATAAATGTACAAGTTAAGGAAAGTGTTTTATGGCGTGATATATTTTTGCGTCTGATATTACTTATTTGGCATGTTCATTTTTACATAAGTTTATTGAACTTTTATAAAAATTCATTGTTTTATTTGAAAGGCAAACAGGTAGAGAAAGCTTTTCTATCCCCTGGCTCATTCACCAAATGCCCACAGTAGTCAGAGTGAGCTCAGGCTGGAGCCTAAAGCCTAGAGCGAATGGAGAAACTCAACCATGGGTCCTCCCTGGACATGGAGATCCAGGTGCTTTACAGATCTCTGGCTGCTGCCTAGACCACGCATTCACAGAAGGCTGGATCAGAATTAGAGGAGCCGGGGCTCAAATTAGGCCCATCCATTGGATGTTGGCATTCTAAGTGGCATCTCTATGGCTAAATGTCCCCCAGCATTATTGTATGTGATAAAATTCACTCAAGTATATAATAAAGTGTTAATACATTTGCTAAATGATGCAGCCATCATAGTGAATTGGTTCTGGAACGTTCCCATCATGCCATATGGCTCTGGCTGCCAATCACTGGTTATTTCATCTGCTTCTCCACTGCGTGCTGTGTGCATTTATCCTAAACTAAGTCATGAACACTTGAAATCAGTTTGACTTTAGTAAGCTTTTCAGTAGGAATAGTATAAGAGAAATATTGGCAGTTACTTCTAATGGCATGGACATATGTATAAGGCTTGCATTTTCATTCCCTTAGATCCAAAGATCATGAATATAACCATTTAAAAAAAATCATCCTCAGAGTTTTCTCTCAGGCACACGTGTGAATGTACAGATCAGGGATTGTCTGTTTTAAGGTTGAGCTCAGGTTTTGTTTTGGTTATTAGCAGAGTTTTAGTAGCAATTCATATCCACATGTTATCACATCAGTTACATGGCAGAGTGTGAGAAGGAGAGGGGCAGAAGGGAGAGGGAGGAGGGGATGGAGGGGAGGAGGAGATGGAGAGGGAGGAGGAGATGGAGAGGGAGGGAGGGAGCGATGGAGAGTTCTTTCTCACAGTTCTGAAAAGTTATATTTCAGTTTATATCAGTAGCACTGCAGGGAATTTTACAGCTTACAAGACTGTCTTGATTTGTGCTGTATTCACTCCTAGTGAGGTTAAGAATTCTTTCAATAGCAGCAGAAGAAGGGATGCCAGTGGCAGTTCTTGCCTGGACACAGCTGACTCAGCGGTCTGCAGTACCCATTGTGTGTACATGAGTTTTTCCAGTCAAGCAGTCTCCTTTGACAGATTCATGATATTATATCTTTCATTTCTTTTGTGAATTACAGCAAGATAGAAAGCAATCTTTATATTATTGGCATTTCCATTGAATGCATGTCCTACGCAGTATAAAGCACAGATAGGCATAGAACCTGTAATACAAAAGACAATGCTAAGTGATGACCGCTTGTGTTCATGTTAGTTTTTTGAGATTTATTTTTATTAAAGGCAGAGTTATAGATAGAGCAGGGGAGGAGAGGGAGAGAGAGAGAATATGAGAATACCTTTCATCCAGTGGTTCACTCATGAAATGGCCCAGTGGCCGGGATGGAGCCAACACAAAGCTAGGAGCCAGGAGCTGCTTCCAGATCTCGTGTGGGTCATCCTCAGCTGCTTTTCCAGGCCATTAGTGGGGAACTGGACCAGAAGGGTATCTGCCATGAATGCCTGGTGGAAGGAGACTTAGCATGCTACTCCATAGCCCCAACCCTACCTGTTAGTTTTTTCAAAAAATTAACAGAATAAAGAAAACTGTCTACTACCGAAGCCCAAATGTGGATAATACAGAGGTATAGAGAACATCCTACGTGGAAAGCATCTTTGCCTCTTCTGATATTTCAGTTCTGA